GCAAACCAAAGATTATGAAACAAGATTTTGAAGTCCTATGCTTCATATTTTTCTTTTCTATTTCCGGGGAGTTGGGAGTCTTTCTTTGAGAAAAAAATCTGTTGGCTACCAGTCTGCTGCTGATGACTTTTATTTTCTTCAGGTTCACAAGTCATGTAACATAGTAAGACAAAACATCCATGAATTGTTCAGGGATATTGTTTATCCAAACCTCCCTTTTCATCTTGTATGCACTAGGTGAAACTTAGTATATCATGCGATAACAAATGTTCTGAATTGCTGATAGAGGCAATAGGATGTCTGCCCATTCTCATCACCAATTCTAACATACAAATCATGGAATGTTCTGAATTGCTGATATAGGCAATAAGATTATCATTGTCATATATACAACCCATACGAGGCTAGAACTTATCAATTTCCAGTTTTCGAATCCCAGGATTTGGGGTTCCCTGTGATGATTCTTGTCAAAAGATCACAGTTTAAGCTTCCGAGCTAAAAATTTGATGTCTGATGTTCTCGATTAATTTATCTGTGGCTACATATACAAAAGTCTTGTAAATGGAATTGGAATTCTGTCTTCCAACTTATGGAGCATATTATTCTGTTGGTGAATGACTAATATTTTCCTGGATTGCAGGCTGTTTATTTCAATTACTATGGGGATCTTGCAAAGGCCCTTGAACACTTTCTTCAATGTGCAAATTGGCAGAAAGCACACACTATTTTCGTAACTTCTGTTGCCCACAAATTATTCTTGTCTGGTATGGATTAATAATTTCTATGTTCCATTTAGTGTCATTATGTATTTTCTTAAGTTTCTGGACATACTTTGATGGAATCACTATGAGGAATCTGTTATAGAAAAATATACTTTTCATTCCGTTTCTAAGTGTATGCATATAGCTTGAACAGTTTATAATCGTTAGCATTCTACATGATAATTGAGTATCATTGGACCTAGTGAATCCATAAGCAGGTAGTTGATTTGTTTAGGAAAATGTACCTTTAACTGACTTGATTTACAAAGTTAATATTTTAACTAATCACGCACTCGATCTGGACCACAATTGCTTCAGTTGATATTAATGTATAATTTTTTTTTCATGCAGCCGAACACTCAGAGATATGGAGGCTTGCAACTTCCATGGAGGACTACAAATCAGAAATTGAAAATTGGGACCTGGGAGCTGGGATTTATATTTCATTCTATCTAATTAGAAGTTCATTGCAGGAAGCGGACAATACCATGAACGAACTGGTATGGCAGATTATTCTATATGATATGGCTGTTATTTTAAATATTGGGTAGATCTGCATCAATAGGCAACCTGCAATATATTAACTAGCAATTGCATTGTTTTAAACACCAAAGCTTGGTTTGCTCTATTGCTAGGTTTCTGTTTCTCATAATTTAAGGCTTAAGCTGGAACACATTGTGCCTAACAGTTGTACATAAGTTTGACTGATTGGCTTGGCTTAGGCTGTCTAAATGTGGCTCAGAGTCAGATAATAAAGTAATTGAATATACAACATCTCTCCAAAATGAAAATATATAGCATCTGTGCAATGGTATGCCTGCTTTGGTAGAGTGGGTCTTTACTAGTAATATTGGGCCAGATGCTGATGCACTTCTTGCTCTTCCTATTGTACTTATCTTGGTAGCAGGAGGCTAACAAGATGAGCATGAATGAAGATAAGGAAATAGCTTAAAGCCCTATTACTAAATTGATATATAGCCCCATTTTTTGCTACTGTACTAAAAAGAACTTGATTGTTATTGCTAAATCTTTGTGTAATTTACTCCATGCTACAAGATCTTTATCATGTCGGAAAGGATTTGAACAAGTGATGATATTTTTATCCTGTGAAATACAATGGAGAATGACAAACTCAAACCAGACCCAACTTGATGCCATATTCTCAAATATAAATTGTGATTGTCATTTGGTCTTTCTTTTTCAAATGAGTGCTGAGCACTCTGTAATGTTTACTGCAGGATTCTCTTGAAAGCAAAAATTCTGCTTGTAGAGGGTTTCTTGGTCAGTTAAAGCAGTCTTTGGCTGTTTGGGGTGTCCTGCTACCCGTTGACGTGAGGTATGCCCAACAATCCTTGACTCAGATGTTTGGTTTTATTCAGACACTTTAACTTATGTTTGTTAGTGATATGATACATTAACTTTTGTTTTATTATTGTTGAGACCTCTCCACATGACGCCTGTTTATTATAAGGTGGTATAGCTCTACAGTTATGAAATTTATGTATTTACCAATGTGTTACAGGGTAGTTTATTCAAAGATGGCAGATGAGATATGCAATTTGCTTTTATCTGATATTGGAGACGGCCCAACACGAGATGTTCAATTGAGTTGTTTTGACACCGTTTTTAGTGCTCCCATTCCTGAAGACCTTCGTGCAAGTCATTTGCAAGATGCACTATCTCTCTTTACATGCTTTCTTTCAGAGGTTGCTACATAGGTTTTCCCCTTTTTGCAAGGCAGTTTGTTCCAGTTGAAATTATAAAATCCTCGCAAGTTCCTATTTTTGCTTAAACAGCTGTCTCTACTGAGTTGTGATGTTCTGGAGATGCGTAGTTCATATATGTTATTTTACAGAAAAGCTAGAACTGATGCTGGCCAGGGGTTTCGAACCAAAAAAAAAAACAAAAAATGCTGGGCTGGGGGCCTTGCAGGGTGCAACCTGCTGGTGTGATTGCACAGGGATCTTTTATTTTATGGTTCTTTTTAGGCCTGGGAGCGGATCAGTTCGGAATGGTAGAGGGCTCTTCTGTTAACCAAACCAAAGACTTTGGTAGACTATTTTCTCTTCCGTTAACTAAACCAAAGACTTTGGTAGACTTCGGATTGGTTAACCTAATATTCGATTTGAATTGGTTCGGTACGCCGGCAGTACCGTAATAAAAACATACTAATAAAAATACAATTTATAATACTTTCATATAGCATAAGTTCTTGAACAAATACACAAAATTATCCTTGTAAAATATAAAAATTCAATAGTCTAATTCATTCAAGTATGAAATCAAATAACTTGGGCTTGTTTGGGAGTGCTTTTGGAGTAGTGAAAAGCGTTTCTAGATTGGTGAAAGCGTTTCTATCTTTTAAAAATGGTGTTTAGCAAAAATTGCGTAAGTGTTTTGGGTGATATCCAAAAGCACTTGGAGTGGTTTTGGAAGAAGCACTTGAGATGTGCTCTTAAAACAGTTGCAGGACAAAAACATGGTGTCTTGCTTAGATGCATCTTCTGGATGTTGTAAAAAAAAACCCTCATATTTGTCATTAGTAAACATGCTTTAGCCTAAAACAAAAAAAATATATATATATATATATATATATATCAAAATTAAAACCTCTTTTGATGACTCCCTCAAAATGTATGAAGCATATATTCCAAAATTTCAAACCCAATTTGCAAATCTGCATAATTTCAAAAGTACAAAAGAGGATTTGAAACTCCTTAGGATAGGAATACAAATACATAAATAAATAAATATATAAATAATCAATTCAAATGGGGCATTACTTTACAGTGGAAAGGCTAATGAGGGCAATAATTCCTGAGCTATGCCTCAGGCCACGGCGGAAGAAAAAATTTCACCATATGAGGAGGAAATAGAATCTAATAATCAATTAACTAATTTATATGAAGTTCTGTCATGAAACAATAAACTAAAGTAAAATTTCACCATGTATACAAGCTTATATGCAAAATTAAAGACTAATTGGATTCTAAAGTACAGAACAGATTGAAACCTTCTTATTATTTACTCACATCAAGAAACAACAAGGCTACTTTTTAAGCTATCCAATCAATATGCAGAACTAGTTGACATTGACAGCAGCCAAGTCAGAAGCACCCTTCTAAAAGTTGTCCAATGCCGAGTAGATGTGTCACCGAATTGAAGGCTGCTTTTTAAGTTGTCCAATCCAAGTTTCCAAGAAATAGTTCCGAGAAGAAAGAAGAAAGGCTTCATCTGCTCCAAGCCCCGCTAGAGCATAAGGAACTTTGTATCAAAAGTGGAATCAGCAGCACAAGAAAGAAGAAGGAACCCCAAAAAGCCACTCTGACTCGCGGATCACAAAGATGGGCACCAAGCAATCTCTTGATTAAGGTTGAATATGGTTAGTAGGGTACTTATTAAAATTATATTTGTTTCACAATTCCATATATCCTTTTTGGTCATTTTATATTAGGGTAAATCAATAATTCAATAAATACTTTTGTAGTAGGGTGTACTCAATTAATTTTAGGGTGCTAACACTCTTCCACCGATAGAGTCTAACCAAATGAAAAAGGGCTTTAATTTGTAGATCAATGGTCTCTATCTTCTTGTAATTTAAACTATTGTTTGCATTAAAAAATGAAATTCGAACTTGGTATTTTTTCCAATGTTCTATAATTACGGTCTCTCCTCTTTAATGCATAAAAAAGTGTGGCATTAAAAAAATGAAAAAAATAACAAATATATCTAGATTTGGTAGATATAGTTGAACTTGTGACTTGTAATATCTTCCAATCTTCCAATATTTGAACTTAGGACAACCTTCATGAGCTGCCTCTCCTCTTTCCCCAATCACTCTAATGTTTGCTAATTTGTTTAAGTAGCTAAACCTTAGAGCACCTCCATCCCAAAGGGCAAGGGTAAGGCAAAGGCAAGGCAATGTTTGTCACTATTCATGTGAATAGTGGCAGCCTTGCCTTTTTTGTTTCCACCCCAAAGGGTAAGGGCAAAGGCAATTACTATTCACTTTTATTTATTTTCTATTTTTTATACTTAAACCATTAATTTTGATAATATTTTTGGTTGCCACATGTCACTATTTATTATAAAATTCTCATATCAAATTTCAGATTAAATTTTAGGATGAAATTTTCTGATAAGATTTTTAGTTGCCACTTGTCCATATTTATTATAAAATTCACATCTCACTCATCATACAATTGAAATACCTACTCATTCATCATACAATTGAAATACCTACTCACTCATCATGCAATTGAAATACTTCTGGTCCTCATAGTCTGACACAGTCAAGAACAAGGATGACTCAATCATTGGCGGAGGTAGTTCTACCGGATCACAACGTGGGGGAGTATTTTCCTTCGGAGGACCTAATAGTGCCATTATTTTTGGCACGGAACGCACCACTGGAACCGACTGCGAGCATTGTTCACTTGAGGAGCCATGTGTAATGGTTTTCCTCTTTTTTTGTTTTACCTTGAGTAATCTATTAAAAAAATGAAATTGAAAATGCAAGAAATATATAATTAAAAAAATTGACATTAAATTGAACAAAACGGCAAATTTTTTTTTTTACCTCATCGCGAAGATTTTGACTGCTTCGAACGTTTGTGCACGATCCTCCGGCTTCGATGGAAGAGGCCATTCGTATTTTTGCACAAATGGAATATTGTAGTAGAAAATTTGGTGTGGAAAGTGAAAAATATTGGAAGGAAATGATTTTGTATGAAGGTTTGGTATGAAAAGTGAATAATATTGGTAGGTATTTATAGAAAAAATTTCTAGAATTTCTTGATATTTTTTACAATTTTTTTTTAGCCAAAAAGTTGGATAGTCGTTGGATTTGATAAGATTTTTGGATCGGAGGCTTCAGGAGAAGTCACATGACTTGTAGCCGTTGGTTTCTGGTAGCTGTGGGTCAGTGCTGACGTCACGCTGACGTCAGCGGCTGATGTTAGCAGCCTTCAAGCAATAGCCCAGTCAATCCTTGCCCGTGGGCTTGCTTGGGCTGGTGGGTCCCACCGCTTGCCCAGGTTGGACCTTGCACGCTGGAGGAGGGGTTTGGAGCTTGGGGCTGCCTTTTGTCCTGGCCAAACCCATGTGCTGGAGGTGCCCTTAACCAAATGAATATAGGAAAAATATATTACTCTTCCAATTCCGAGAGATCCAATACTCTCACTCAGAGCGATTCCAGCAACAACACTCAGCCCTGGCAGGACAAGGCCCGAGTCCAAAAAGCAGCTTCCAGCGAGCTTGTGAAGTAGGGGCGGGCCATGGGTCCCACGAGACTAGGCCAGTTTGAAGGCTGCTGATGTCAGCGCTGACGCCAGCGTAGTAATTCAAATTTTTTCTGCCATGTGGCGCGTTGCTGCGTGCGCCGATGCTTTTTTTTTTTTTCAACAGCTAGGCTTTTTTTGGGCAAAAAAAAAGTGTTTGAAATTTTTTTAAAAATTCACCAAAAAATTATGAACTTTTTTTTTCGGTAAATACCTACCATTTTTCTTCACTTTCAACACAAAATCCTCATATAATTTCTTCTCCTTCTACTGTTTTTCATTTTCTACACAAAATTTTCAACACATTCCATACATCAAACAAAATATAATTAAAAGAAAAAACCAGAATAAAAGCATAACTAAAAATAAAACATAAACAAAGCATAAATAAAAATATTCTCCAAGTTAATTGTTTAGATTTTAAAAAGTAAAAAAATAAAAACCCAAAGTGAATAGTATTTGCCCCTTGCCATGACAATGAGTGGAAACACATATTGCTTTTTGTAAGGGCAGCCACTATTCACATGAATAGTGTCTACCCTAGGCCCCCCTTGCCATTTGCCATGGCATTTGAGGGCCTAACAGTGCATTTGGATGAGGGAAATAAACTTGGGATTTTAACAAAAATCAAAATTTCTAAATTTACATGAATCAATTCTCGTGTTTGGATTAAAAAAAACAAAGAAATTTAGAAATTCATCGTGGGAAAAAACATGGAATTTGGAGATCATAAATCCCAACTTTAAATTCTATCTAAAAGTCATCATTTCTAAAATCTCAAGAGAGATTGAGTTTTTAAAAAATATAACTTTACAAATAAAGGTTAAATTCCGTGTTTTAAATCCGTCACACAAACAAGAAACTTTACAAATTCTACAACATTAATTTCCGTCATTTATGAAATCCTTTGTACTTTTAAATTTCCTCATCCAAACGCACTGTAAAGGAACCTTAAGATTATATGGGAAAAAGGGTTTTCTCTCTCCCCCTTTTGAAATGAGAGCTACTGTACCTGGTGGCTGCTAGGTTATGCATCTTTCCTTTGTGTTTCTTCACAAGATCTGGTATTCTCTTGTGTTTTTCACAAGATCTAATCTTAGTTTTTTAACTAGGGACAACCCAAGGTGCATAATCAATCTTTCTCATCCAAGGTGGGAAACTCAAGGTTTCAAAAATAGGAGCAATTTCAAATGGAGGATGTTCAAACAAGCTTTGACAAAATTCTTACGTTAATAGCAAAGGAAGCAGATCCACTGGTGATTGAAGAAGAAGATGATGGTGTAGCTCAAGATATCTTAGAGAAAGTTTAGTAGCAAAGATCTACTCACCAAAACCAGTTCACAAGAAGTCTTTTAAGAATAGGATGTTGGAGATTTGGGACCTAGTTGGTTAAGTAAACATTAATGAACTCCCAGGTGACCACTTCTTATTTACTTTTGGACGTATGGAGGTTAAACAAAATATTTTAAAGTTTGCCCCTTGGAAATTTGATAAAAAGCTTGTTTTGTTAGAGGAGCTAGATGGTACTGTGGCACCCTCTAAGATGAAATTAAAATTTGGTGACTTCTGGGTTCAAATCCGGAATGTTCCCCTCTTAAAAATGACTAAGAAGCTTGCTAGGTCAATTGGAGATAGAATTGGCAAATGCATAGATATATCTCGATGTGAAGGGGGTGAGGTGGTGGGAGGATTTATGATGATTAGAGTTCGAATAGATATTGCTAAACCTTTATGGAGGAGACTGAGGATAACATTCCCTGGGGGTAGTACTGACCTAGTTGCATTTTTCTATGAAAAATTACCCAAATTCTGCTTTGGATGTGGAAGAATTGGCATATACTTTAGGATTGCAATTATGCGCCAGAGCAACAGAAAAGGGCTACAGATCATCCATATGGAAGATTCCTTACCCCAAGAGGCTATGGTCATGCCTAATCCTCAAATAGCCAATCGTATGATTCCAGTTCAGAAGAGGAGGAAAAAAATAGAGGAAATAAAAGAAATTTTGAAGCCGGAAAGTAGAAAAATGTCCCAGATGCTGTCAGCACTCCAACAAAAAAAAAAAACAAACGAGTAGTCTTGAAGTCAGTAACAAGATTCAAGCTATTTCTTCACAATTACAGTCAATGAATGCAAGAAAGTTACAAGTGAAAGAATCGTCCAGAGAAGGGTCTAAAGGAAAAGAAATGGGACACTCGACTTCAAACTCATTGAGTTCCCAATGAATTTTCAGAGGGTCAGAACAAAGGGATAGAAATTGGAAAAACAAGGAGGAAAATGGAAACATTGCTCTGACGGAGGCAAAGAAGATTAGTGATGGGGGTGGTTCAACCTCCTCTATTTCCACAAGAAGTTTTGAACCCAATTTTCAAGCGGGAGAGAAAAGACAAGAGATTTGTGCCATATCCTACTATGAAGCCGATAAAGCTTTATTTGGCAATTTTGAGGTGGTAATTCAGTCTGAGTTTGATCTTGACTCACAGAGGGACAATCAGGCTAGCAAAGAGCCAAAGGGTGTGTAGGCCAAAACAGGGAGAAGTTGGAAAAGATTAGCAAGATAGGGTGGTTCAAGTAAATCCTCCCATGATCAGACAACTCCCAGTATGCTAATTGGTGAGAAACGGAGTAGGGATCCAGTTATGGAAGGGGAAACTTCAAAGCACAAGAAAGTTGATGATGGAAAAAACAATGAGATTTTCATGTATGAATCCATGGTGGGCCTGGAGATGTTGGCCCACCACGAGAAATGAATATCTTAAGTTGGAATGTCCGAGGTTTGGGGAATCCTCGGACATTCAGAGCTCTCAATGATTTATTAAGAGAGACAAATCCCCATGTAGTTTTCCTTATGGAGACTAAATGTACTAGTTTGCAATTGAATGAAAAGGTGATGAAATGGGGAAATTATAATTATTTTGAAGTAAAGAGAATTGGAAAGAGGAGGGGGGGGGGGGGAGGGGAGGGCGCGGCGTGGGTTGGGTGTGGTCTTGCAATGTTGTGGAGGAAAGAAGTACAAGTGAGTGTGTTGTCTGCATCAACTGGCCATATAGACTATTGGGCGAATACTCATCCCATACAACCATTCAGAGTGACTGGTTTTTAAGGCAACCCTGAAACATCCTTAAGAATTTTCTCTTGAGAATTGCTTAGAAGATTGGCAAGTTCTTGTACAAGCCCTTGGATATGCTTGGGTGATTTTAATGAGCTGCTTTCGGAAAGAGATTCAAATGGGGTTAGAAGGAGACCAATGTATCAAATGGAAAACTTCTAAAAGTCTCTAGAGGACTATAATTTGAGTGATATCGATTTTGAAGGCTTTCCTTTCACTTGGAGTAGGAAGAATGGTAATGGGAGTGTTCTGTGGGAAAGACTTAATTGAGTAGTTGCAAATACAGAGTTCAAGCACTTGTGGTACCAGACAAAGGTTCATCACCTGAATAGTATTGTTTCTGATCACAAACCAATTCTTTTAACCCTTATTTCCCAAATATTAATGATGATGTAATTTCAGCAAGAAAGTGCAGATTTCATTTTGAAATGATGTGGTTGAAAGAAGAGGGATTTGAAGACGTTGTGAAGGATGCCCAGGAGTATAATGTAGATGAACACCTTTCCGTGAAAGAAAAGCTCAAAAGGTGTGCTATTTCTTTTAAAAAGTGGGAAAAAGATGTCTTTGGTAGTGTCAGGACTTAATTAAAGGAGTGCAAAGCAGAGCTGGAACTTTTGCAATGCATTAACCCTTCGAAACAATAAAGTCAGAGGAAGGATTTTCTTGAAAGAAAGATTGATGTCCTACTGGAAAAACAAGAAATTATGTGGTAACAACGTTCAAGGGTGGAGTGGTTGAAAGAAGGTGATAAAAATACTAGTTATTTCCATAAAAATGCAAGGGAGAGAACAAAGAATAATTTCATAATAAGGGTGTATAATTCAAAAGGGAAATGGTGTATGAATAGAAGATTGATAACGAAAAATTTTAGTTACTATTTTCAATCTCTCTTTGCGAAAACAGGAGGTCATAACATTGAGGTGATTACGGACGTGGTTAGTCCAAAAGTGCCTGATCAAATGAAGCATTTCTTTGCTAAATCTTACAGTAGAGATGAGGTAGCGTATGCTCTGAAGAAAATGCCTCCTTCAAAGGTTCCTAGAATTGATGGAATGCCAACTTTTCTTTTTTCCAGGAGTATTGGCACATTCTTGGGGATGATGTTGTGGAGGTATGTCTAAAAATCCTCAATGGTCAGGAAAGTGTGAGAAGCCTGAACAAGACTTCGACAGATCTCATCCCCAAAATTGAAAAGCCAGAATTTGTGACTCAGTACAGGTCAATATCTCTCTGCAATGTGATCTATAAAATTATTTCTAAGACCATAGCCAACAGATTAAAGTGTGTGCTCCCAATGGTTATATATGAAAGCTAGAGCGCTTTTGTTCCAAAGAGGCAAATTTCAGATAATATCATTCTATCTTTTGAAACGATTCATGCCATGAGAAGTAGAATGGGGGGGAAAAGTTCCAAAGATTGCTTTGAAGTTGGACATGGCAAAAGCGCATGATAAAGTTGATTGGAATTTCATTTGTAAAATGAGAATTGGGTTTCCATGATGACTTTATTAAGCTGGTCTATGAGTGTATATCTATTGTTTCATGTTCTTTGATAAGGCATGGAGCTGTTGAAGGTAATATTATCCCACAAAGGGGGATTAGACAAGGATATCCCTTATCTCCCAATATTTTCCTCATTTGTGCGGAGGGTTTTTCTTTACTTCTTAAACAATCAGAGCTTTCTGGTGAAATAAAAAGGATTGAAGTGGCAAGAGGGCCCCCTCCAATTTCTCATTTGATTTTTTTGCTTAGATGACAGCCTACTCTTTCTTGAAGCAACACCCCAGGCCTATAGAACCCTTAAAAGGGTGTTTGAGATTTATGAGCCAGTAGCAGGGCAAAAAATAAATTTGGAGAAGTTAGCAATTGCTTTCAGACCGAACACTCCGGTACATTTAAGAAATGAGGTTAGCAGCCTTCTAAAGATCCCAATTGTTGAGTTTCATGAGAAATATTTGGGACTACCAACTGTGATTGGTAAGAGAAAGAAGGATTGTTTTAACGGAATAAAAGAAAGATTGAGAAAGAAGCTTAATGGCTGGAAAGAGAAATTGCTTTTAAAAGCAGGAAAGGCTCTCCTTATCAAAGCGGTGGCTCATAATATTCCAAATTATGCTATGGGAGTCTTTAAACTTCCTATAACATTTTGCGCATATTTGAATTCAATGATCTCTAAATTTTGGTGGAAGAATTCAGAGTATTGCAAAGGTATTAGCTAAGCAAAGTGAGAGCATCTGTGTTTTGCAAAGGATGAAGGTGGAATGGGGTTTAGAGATCTGGAGGTTTTTAACAAAGCGCTTGTGGCTAAGCAATGTTGGAGACTTCTTACTAATGAACAGTCCATGATTCACAAGGTGTTAAAAGCTTGATATTTTCCAAACTGTAATTTCTTGGCAGCTGGTAAAGAAAGAGCTTCTTCATATGTTTGGAGGTCTTTGATTTGGGGCCGTGAATTGCTCTTTAGTGGGTTAAGGAAGAGGATTGGAGATGGACAAGATCTCTAGACTATGGAGATGCTTGGATTCCTAGACCTAATTTTTTCTGCTCTTGAGTGGGATGAAATTTGCTCGGGATGCTAGCTTTTTTTCTATTCTAATTGAGTCTGATTCACAAGGAGTGGTAAATGATGTAAAGAACGATGGGGAAGAGTCGTAGGCATCAGATGAGCATCTCTTTGATGATATTAAGAGGAGTTTGCAACAATTTGATGATGTTACTGTTTCTTTCAGTCCAAGGGGGTGCAATCAAGTAGCTCATTTTCTAGCTAGGCATGCACTTAATTGTAATACTATGGTAACTTGGATGGAAGAGGTTCTCCTCTATCTGGAGCCAATTGTACAAGATGATATTGTTGTATCATCTTAATTGTTATCAATGATTTCCTCATTCCTCAAAAGATTATATTGGAAAATTGAAAATTTCTGATTCATTTGTCTAAATTACAAGTTCAAAGCATTGAGGTTTCACCCAATAAATTGAAGTTGAAATTTACAAGTCTTAAACTTCATGGTCATCACAATCCCTAGTGTAGCAGCAACCAGAAAAATTGAGTCGATTGCTGGTTATAGAATTATGCAAAAGGAAATAAAGAAAGAGATATTTAGTGATATACCCATTTTTAGCACTAATATTATACATAAACCATATACCATTGAATTTCTATAAACAAACAAAAAAAAACCCAACAAATGACAGCTGGACTTGTTGAATTTAATATTGATTATTAAATTACTTTGATGCCTATTGAGTGTTTTGGGTATTTTTATGAGATTTTAGGATTGGGTTTGTTTTAAGAAATTGATAGTAGTTTTGTAATTTATAAGAAGTTAAAAGCCTCTTTGTTATGTTGTAAATAGGCTTTGTGTGTGTTTATAAAGTCCATTTCATATGAGGTATTTTTATAATTTGGGCCCCTATATTGGATATAATAGTGAATCTCTCTTAAAGAAAAGTACTTATGCAAAATAAAATCTTACAATATTGAAAGAGTAAAATAACGACGTTTTAAGAGTGACCATGAAATTGTTATGAGAGGAATTATTATTATTTAAAATATCTGAAAACTTGTGTGCTTATTTGACTATGTTTCGTTTGCATGTCTTTTGAGAGAAGCTAACTTTATGGTTGATGCTCTAGCTGCCCTAGGACTTCGGCTTAATCACCGCCATGTTTAGAGATTTGCTTTCTTTCAACGAATCATGCTCGTACTTATCAATGAGTTGTCTTAGAATGGTGGCCAAGATTAAATGCAGTGACTGGGTTGATAGATACACTCTCGTCTTCGTCTGCCATTTGGTGATGTCAACATTTGCTGTCCATCTCATAAACATCATCATGGAACGACCTGGAAGCCCAGTCTAGCCGCCAAAGAATCCCACTTCCAAACGGCACCGTTTAAGTCTCAAATCTTCTTCTTTTATCTATAAATATAAAAAAAATAAGACAATTCCATTTCCAAATTCCAATTTTCAATCTGCCAAGGACCCGTAAGTCCCATTTCACACTTGACTACGAGACTCGCGAAACTCAAAACCTTCATCCACAGTGATTAGCTTAGCTTAATCCAATCTTTCCATTATTGTTGATGCGATAATTAATAATTGTACGTGGAAAAAACTTCGACGACTAATGCCCATTGACTTGGGGAAGAAGAACAAACAAAGCACACACCTTTCAGCTTTCAACCACATCTCTCTCTCTTTCTGCTCTTACTGATACTGTTAGGCAGGCAGAGTATTAGATCTGTGCCCTGCAATCAGTACATAGAATTCAACTGGGTCTTGTAGCTTGCTTCTTTTTATAGCTTCCTCGGGTATTTCTGCCTCTGCAAAACGAACAGGTACACAATTTCTTTACGTGTTTTAATCGTAATCTTGGTTTCATTATTGTTCTGGTACACGCCCAGTTTTACTTTTTATGGTAGCTTTCTGTTTGTGGAAAGTCTTTTTCACATTGCTAGGCAGGTAGTGTTGTTGCTAGTTATTACTTTAGTTGTTTTGTTGATGGATTAAATTTTTTGGGGTTTGAGAATTTTGGTTAAAGAGTTGAGATTTAGGTTCGACAGTGATTGTGGCTCACTGGGTTTCAGCCATTTTTCCTTTTTCAGAGGGGACTCTGGTTTTTCAGACTTGTAAAATGTGGATAGAAAACCATCTTTTAATGGAAAAAGCAATTGAAATTAAGACAAAGTTTGGTTTTTATTGATTTGGGTTTGAATGTTATGTTTACTAGTTGAGGCTCCAGTTGATGGTATTTGTAATTCTATATTTGGGTAGTGGGGTTTGCCTATTAAATGCAATAGTGGCCTAATTTTCATTGTTTTGATATTTCTTTACGTCTGATGACTTCTTTATAACTTATTAATTGTAGGGAGCTTCTTGAATCAGAGTAAAATGCAAGATTTAGTTAGTAATAATGGGAACAATCAGTTATCACGCCATCGGAGGTTGTCTTGAAGCGAAGCTTGAACTGCCAATGAGATGTCTTCGAGTAAGAGGGCATCTCAACAGTTGGATGGTAGGATGCGGAATCAAAGCAATGATGTCTTGAACAGGTCATACCCACAACCAACTTATTATAAAGAGTGTTTATTCACCAGTGTTTTGTTTCCAGGTTGATTGATTCAACATTTCCCTCCTACTGATAGTTGATTGATGTAAAAATTTTGTGCACTTGTTAATAAATTTCAAGCAAGCATAGAGCTAGAGTGCAAATGAGGTTGGGTAACCTATGGGGTTTAATTCTCAATGATGCTAATCCTTACAGTTAGAGTTTAGTGCCTCTTAAAATGACGGACATGGAAGTTTGTTTCTGCGTGAGATTGCTTGTGCAAAAACGTTTTTGTAACTATACATAGCGGGAACCTTTTGAGATTTACCAACTACCAAGTTACCTTAAAATTTCAAAATTTGAGCTTGAGTCGTGTTTTGTATGGGTCATGTTTTGGGAGGAGGTATGGCTTCCAGATTTGGTTATTGGTTGATGTGATTAATAAGTTTTGTAGACAATGAAGATATTAATAAAGAAAAAGAAGGAAAGATTAAGAAGAATGATACTTTCTTTTTGTCAGTTGAAAAGGTTGAGAGTAAGAAACCTTGGAGTCACAATAAAGCCTTTCAAAACTAGAAGTCTTATCTGGAAGATGTTTAATGAATCTCATTATAAAACTTTTTGTTGTTGAAAAGCTAAAGAGAATGAGAAGAAAACTAGCAGAGTACTATTTCAAGGAAACTTCAAAATAGAACTCATTTATAACTTAATTGGTGCACCGTGCACAAAAGATCAGAATTTTCCTTCTTATGAAATTTAGATAAATTTATAGGGTAATGATTTCCCCACTCCAATTTTATCCACTTACACTCCATTTTTATAGTGGATAAAATTGGAGTGGGGAAATCACCACTCAATTTATACTGAAGTTTTCGTTTTGGTATTAATTGTTTCCTTCATTGAGCCTCTTTACATGTACTACTGATCCCCATCTATATGAAAATATACAAGTTAAATGGTCTGTTTTATGCTCATGTTCTTAAGTATCTTTGTTTTCCCCCTTCCATTTTGTAGGCGTAGCTCTGATGCACAGCTTACTCCAAAAAATTTAAAAGATGATAGTGTCGTTCATTTTAAAGATCGAGAATCTATGGTACTGGTACTTCATTAGTTTATACATAAAATGTATGTTAACAAGCAGGAACTTTATTTGATATTTTACACTATGTTTGTTAACAAGCAGGAACTTTATTCTCGAGCCAGAGCGCAGGAAGAGGAGATCCAATTTCTCCGTGGGCAAATTACTGTTGCTTGTGTGAAGGTATAGCAATTCTTAACTTGCCATTTGTCACATGCATTTGCATTATCCTTATAGTTGGTTCAATTTTGGAAATGTAAATGCTTGAGAATTAAGTGGTCTTCATTGTATCAGGAATTGCGCCTGCTAAATGAGAAATATGCATTGGAGAGGAAATTTGCTGACTTACGGATGGTTTGTCCATCGCTTGATAATCAATATGGTTTTTTCTTGGAATGCTCTGATTCCTTTAAAAAAAAGAAAAAGAAATTGGAAGATGCTAAAGTATGAAATAATATTATGTTGATTGATAGGTGATTGATGAGAAGCAGAGTGAAGCCACTACCTCTGCGTTAAATGAATTGGCACGCAGAAAAGGCGATCTTGAGGAAAATCTAAAATTAACTCATGATTTAAAGGTACACTAATGTTTAAAGATGGTGCTAGCTTTAGAATATTATCGTAGTTTGTAGCTGGGAGGCCTATTCTTTGTTGTCTGTTCAAAATAATAGCAATAACCTGATGCCCAAGTATCATATATTTGACTGATTTATTGCATTGCATGAAGACAATGGAAAAATGGTTTTATGTAAAAGAATTTATCACAGTTTTCTCTATTTCATGACAATAAACACCTTTTGACTGGTTTTCTCTTAAGAACTCTATGACATATGTAATGAAAGTAATTCTTTTAGCTATAGCCTGAAGAAAAGGAAAGCTAGCGATACTAATGGTTTTCCAAAAAATCTTAAATGGTTGATGAGAAATTAAGCTCATTAATAGATCCGTTGTGTTTGTCAGGCAATTCCTCCCCTTTTAAGTATGGTTGAAGGTTGAGTTTGAGTTTGAGCTCCCGGATCCAATCTGGTGGTTGCTTGGTGTGATTTACCTAGTAAGATAGTGAAAAAATTGGAGAATATTGTGCATAATCTATCTGGTGGCCAAGATTAAGTGCCATTTTAATTTATTGTACATGATCTATCTGTTTGAGGTATAGTGTTTTATTGGTTTACAGAATCTACATAGAAAAGCATAAACTCTTGAACTTGAACCATATGGGCAGGGAAATTTTGTTCTTTACTGAAATTTCTTAGTTGATTTTGTGTTTGATGCCATGTAAGATTTCACCACGTGTTTATAAGCTCAGAAGAATTGATGTAGCACATAACTAGTTCAGGGTAAAGTTTCCAATGTTTTCAAAAAGAGAAAAAAAAGTTTCAATATCAGCTGACTAATTTCCTGCTAGTCGGGAAAAAAATTTATTATGTTTATACTATTTCTATCCTTTGCAAAGGTTTGCAAGTCATCTTCTACTAAAAAGAAAAAAGAAAAAAAAAAAAAAAAAAAAAAAATGATGTACCTAATGAGCATACATCCCTATTCTAAAATTAATCCATCTAACGATTTTCAATTAGATGATAAGGGTTCTCATAAAAAATTACTCTACCTGATTAAGAATAATTTGTTGGTACTCTACCCTGTGACACATAGATACTACACAATACAAATATTGCAGGTATAGAGTATCTGATTTTGATATGGCCCTGATATGCCCTGATTCATATTGAATACGAATTCAGAGAAACTGGTTGACTTTTGTATGTTTGACTTTTGGATATGTTATAGGGTGGGATACATGTTGAATACAAATTAGGATAAAAGAGAGGTTGTTCACAATTTTTTTAAAAAAGGGATGTGATGGTAACTTAGAAAAGTTGTGAAGTATTTTTAAAATAAGTGGGCCTGAGTAGTATTTCCAAATGCTTAGAGTTAATGCAAAAGGAAAAAGAAGAATGATGAAATGAAATTAATGGATATGCATTTTACTTGTTTTTCTTTTATGTTCTATTTCTATCTACAACCTTCTATAATTGATTATGTTTTTACTTTTTTAGTGTGGTTGATGATTATTGAATATAATTTTATTTTTATTTTGTTGCATGCCCTTTTGTTTTATTGTCCTAGGTTTTAGAGTTCTGCTAACTTATCACATCGTTTCCCGTATTCTGTTTCCCCACAGCCTAGACCAAACTTTAATATCCAGATAACCATATGATCAAATGCCAAAAGTCCACATTAGTTAGTTTATAGGGTATTCGTACACACTTAATCATATTTGGATTATGTTTTAGCTTGAGGACATTTGGGAATACTATGATCTTGATATTCAATATGTCCACATATTGAGCTCAATATAAATGCGTTGATGTTTCAATAGGCTGGTTAAACCTCTCTTAAACTGATGTATGAATCGGACTGATAACTTTAGATCTATCATTTTTTTTTTTCTTGCACATTATTGTTTTTGCTCTTAGGCTTTCTCTGTTATATTGCGGTTATTAATAGTTTATGTATTTGGTAGGCTGCAGATGATGAGAGATATATCTTCATGTCATCTATGCTGGGGCTATTGGCTGAATATGGTGTTTTGCCCCATCCTATTAATGCTTCTGCAATATCCAACAGTTTAAAGGTATCAATCATATAGCACAGATAACATATATTACATGTATAACATATATTACATGTAAAGAGTATCCTGGCTTATGGGTGATGTCATATTCTTTTGTACAAAGTTTCTTTCTGCTCTGGCTTTCATTCAGGGTTTTATTTTTTTCAAATCACATTCATTTTCCAATTCCTTGGAAAAGAGCTATCTCAGATGATTAAAAAGAAAAGAAAAATCCAGTGACATCTGATTGATGCTGAGTTAAGGTGACATGTTTTGTGCAATGATAATTGTTCAGAATAGTCAAGGATGAGCAGGTGTTATGTTAGATTTATAATGGAAAGGCCGAGTAAAATGAAACTAATTGAGTGCCAACCTCTGAATCTTAGCACAAGAAATTTATTCTCTTTTCTTTTCCTGCATTTTATCGAGAGCAATATTCTTTGGGTATATGTGGGGAGTAAAAACTGCCCATATTTTATTTGGGTCTATCAAATTGGCAATCTGTTTTCTGTCTATCAGTCTAGCAAAGAGTTTTCTTAAGTCAGCCTTGATCTTTGTTTTCTTGAACCTGCAGAGACTACATGATCAATTGCAGTGGAAGATTAGAACTTCACATGTAAGCAAGCACTCTTGTTACTTCATGCTGTGTCAGTGATGATTCTTTGTTCTATACTGTAGAGTGCATTGCTTTACCCATTATTATGTATAAAAATTGTTTCTCTCCACCACCCATTCTTTGCTGCTTAGTCTTTTAATCAGTATTATACTTTTTGCTCATACACGTATGTGCTGAAAATATCTTATCCTTATATGATAAATAATATAATGCAGGCATATTCTTTCCGGTGTGACCTTTTTTTCTTTCTTTTATATTTTAAAAGTTTCCAAATATTCTTCTCCCTGCAGACATATTTAAGCAGATAACTTACAAATTGTAGCTGAGACACTGCATATCCCTGTTTTGATTTGTTTTGAAATGCATGATTTTAGTTCGATGAACACCCATAGCTCTAAAAGAGGATAAACATTGGGGCCTGTTTTAGAAAAGTTAAATAATTGGAAATAGGGCTAATTATTTGGCTTTTGGGTGTATTTTTACCTTACTACTAGCTGAAAACACTGCATATGGTGGGTAATAGGCTGACGAATATGAAATATAAGAATTGGTGAAGACTTGAGAGAACACCTACTGTTTGGGTATCACATCCAAGAAAAAGATGCATCACATTTTGTGCAGAGCTTCTGGAATTTTGATATTTCTTCATTAGAAGTAAACATCCATACTTAGCTTTCGTAAGCTACAAATGCATATTTGGTGGGCTTAGGTTTTAGAAACTGGTATTTTTAAAGGTTTGTGTTGGTGATGGAGAAGCTTAGGGTTTGTAGATGAATTCGAGTACAAAAATTGATATTTTGTGGCATAAAGTTGACATAAACTGAGAAGTAAGCTTGCTCTAATATTTATTTTGAAGGTCTATTTGAGACTCTGGGGTCGTAAGGGTTTAGTTAGGCAGAAAGCGGCTAGGTTTTGGATTAAGGGAGGACAGAGAGAGATAAAAAATATGCATGTGGAATTACTTCATAACGAAAACACACCATTAATTAATCAATGCTCTTTCTTGGATTACAGGATTACTTATGGTCCTCTTTCCTTATATTATGAATAAGATTAGTAATCTAATACCAAACTCCTAATAGGACTAGTAAATCAAAGGGCGCATATAAAGGCCGATTAACTATATTGGATTTAGATACTAATAAAATAAAAATCAAAACCGCAACTAGGGACCAAAACTGGCAAACATGGAAATTATTACACTAGCCCTGGCTATAAATAGTTGAAAGAAAACCTAATTATAAGATTTCGATGCCTCCTAACTATCATGAAGCCTTACGGCTGAAAAAAAAAAAAAAAAAAAAAAAAAAAAAAAAATCTATGAGGATGTTAAGTCTTCTCTAATCACGCTAGGCTTCTCTATTCCTTTCCTCTTTGCCCCTTTGCGCTGCTCCTCTGGTCGTGCTCCCGCTTCCTGTGTTGCCGTCGGACCCACCTCTTTCTTAACAAACCTTTGTGCTGAACTGAGAGGCCTTTCATTGTCCTGCCCCCTCCGCGCACCTCCTCTTACCGCATTCTCCCTGTACACACACCCACTACAGCGACGCACACCCCGACGCACTCACTCGCACCACCCACTCGCCAGAGGGGCGGCTCAACGTAGCCCCTGACCCTCCGCCCCCACCTCCCTCACCTCGCTCGTCCCGCCACAGACGGAGCAATTACCACGTGTTATATGTTCCACAAACCGACCCCTCCGACGTGCCCGCCTTCCGCGCACCCCCCCCCCCCCCTTTAGTCACGGTGACGCACCCTTGAAGAGGGCCCCTATGCAGAGCCTTTCGTTGCCTCGCGACGTCCTTGCCACACACTGCACACAGACCGCACCCTCCTACCCATAACGTCTTTACTCCCCATTACACACGACGCCAACACACAGACACTTTAGACAAACACAGTTGCCATACCACGCACATATGCTACCCACATCGCATGACCAAAGGCATCGTGTACTGTCCACCTCCGACTGAGGGCCACCAAACTCATGCCCCCTTGCAGACACCCCCCCGCGCCCCACACACCTCCCCACAGCGAAAACCACACCCCGCGCACCCCACACGATTGACACCCTCTGCCTTTGACACTGACTCCAACACACAGACTTGACATTATTTATCTTTTGCTTAATTCCCGAGTTGAAAACAGTGCGCCCGCTCAGCGCATCTGCCTACACACTCAGAGTACCAGGACATCCGAGTCTCACACACATCTTTTTCCGCACGACACGCGCGCGGCGATGCACAGCCAACCAGACACGCAGACACGCGCCACATCACGCGACCCCAGGACTCCCAACAAATTCACCGCACACTTGCCAACAGACGGCCCGCTGGCGAAAATGCACTGGCCTGAACAGACGACTTCCTGGTACACGATTAGCCGTCCGGCACACACGAGCCTTTTAGACCATGGCCAAGTTTCACTCAGACTGATATATAAACTACTCCATATATTAGCGAGTTGGTCTATGCTTGGGACAAGTGTGTTTTGCTTTCATTGTTACAGTCCCGAACTCACCCGCACTCTCCTCTCTCTCTCGATCTCTCTCTCTCTCTCTCTCTCTCCGCGCGGCGCGCCTGGGCTTTCATAAGGCAGGAACAACAAGGCTTGATCATCTTATAGTGATCGACAACATCTGGAACCAACTGACAATTACCGAAATATGTGGCTGACATGAAAATGCTAATTAATAATGAAGTTCCACATGAGTTCACATCCAATACAGAGAGGTTGGCAAAATTCATCTTTGTTCAGGAAAAGCTTTCTTTTTTCCATCTATTATTAAGCATGTATATGTTGAAAGAACAAAGCTTTCTATATTGTTATCGTGCTAAAATTTTATTTATCTGTGAACAAAAATAGTTAAGGACACCTGTATTTTTCAGAGCCATGTTTGATCATTGAAACAGTTTCTTTGTAGTTTAGAGGTCTTTTGAAATTTCATATGTTGGCCTGTTCCTGTGCTTTGGTTATATTATTTGTTGAAGATTGATATTTCATGACTCTGCCATGTGAACAAAGTCGTCTATATGGTGCCATTTGAAATCAATCTCAATTACATTTAGATGTCTTTATCGATTTCTTTGATGTAATTCATATCAAGTTCTTGAAAGCTACAAGTATCACAAATTGTTCCTTCATATAGACTATTGGTGGTGTTTTATAGCTTCCTATCACTGATTCGTTAATACATTTGGATTGACTCTTAAACTGAGGGAAATTGATAGGTGTAACCAAAATGGAAGGGTTTATTCACAATTCAACCATAACATTATAGAATTATTTTCTGCATACCTATATTTCGGTGAGGAGCTTTTTACATGAACATCTTTTCCCCTTGCTATGTTTGACTGTGAATCAAATGACTCATAGGCAGATGGCTGGCTTTACTAATAAACATGATGCGAATGTGAGAGCTGGGAGAATGACCAATGGCACCTTATCTTCTCCTCACACCACACATGATGAGATTGCTTCCTCTGCTTCTCAAGGTGATTGATGTTTTTATCTTTGAAACAGGGATTTTCTTGCTTTACCTTTTGATATCTAATATGTTTCTTTTGCATTTAGAAGGTCCCACAATAGAGAATTTCAGATTATTGGTGATGCTGTTCCGGGAGGCAAACTTCTTGGATGTGGATATCCAGTACGTGGAACCTCACTTTGTATGTTTCAGGTGAAATTCCTTGAACATTCTTCATGTGTGAACTTCCATATATGTTATGATATACTTATATGTCATCGTTGTTTGCGTATCAGTGGGTTCGTCTCTTCAGGATGGCACTAGAGAGTTCATTGAAGGTAGACAGTTAAATGAATTTTGACTTTCTTGATTTTTCTCTTGTATATTAGATCCTGTTAATCTTTATCTCGAATATTGTTTTATTAATGTCTTTATGTTTTCTTTTCCTTCAATCAGGAGCCACAAACCCAGAATATATGTCACAGCTGATGATGTTGACAAAATAATTGTGTTGACTGCATACCAATGGATGACCAAGGCCGTCAGGTTTCTATTACCTGTATATATATGCACTTGTATATGTTGATACCGTCTCTATATTTTTGTGGTATGCACGATTGCAAAAATGTGCAACTGTCTTTGTGTTTCTTATTTGAGTAGGTGAAATTTCTTTTATTTCTGCCATTATGCTTTTTAGTCAATGTATAGAAAATATGTTGTGTTATTTTCTTTTCGAAAATTTTATTTATAAAAATACCAGTCTTTCTGAATCTTCTTGGGATAGTATTACAAAGTGCAAGTAATTTTGACTAGATTATCACACCCTTTTTTGAATGGTTGTGCACTTTGATAATCTTTGTTTGAGACTTTGAAAATATGTTTTCTCATTAGTTCAAAATGATGATGATTTGATCTGCATATCTTTTAAGTTAGTTTTAATATATCAGTTGAAGTTTGGGGGAGAATTAGTGAAGGAGAAAATAAAATAATAATGTTCCCGTATGAGGCCCAAAAAAGTTGCTGCCATAAATTGATGTATGTGTGTGCTGTATCATCCAAGAAATGCAATTTAACTAGCAATGCATCAAGTCAAAATTGATTGATATTGGATAATCCTCTCTCGCCAAAGTTGTCAAGGCACTTTAGTCAGAGGTGGGTGGGTATGAATATCATTGCCTAGAATGCGTGCTTTCATATGATTCTGCTACGCATTCGCACCACTGCACTTATCTAGCTAGACTTTTGAAATCCTGAGTCCATTGAGGAATAATTGAACCATGAGTTTTGGCAGCTTTATGTCTGATCATGCTATACATCCATACCTACCCCTCTGAACTTTTAGCAGGCAAAGAACCAATGTTATAGTACTAAGATTAATCTTTCATTAAAACCTCAGTTCTCTCTCTCTCTTAAGCTTATGCTTTGGGACTCATGCTAATGCTTTTGATGTAGCATAGTCATTTTTATTTGAAGATTGTGTTTTTCTTTGCTTTGGATATAGTTCTTTTGCTATACTTATTGTGTACCCGTGCAGCACCTCTTTGAACATGCTTTGATAAACTTTACTAGTTATCAAAAATATTATTAATGATAACTGGGTGTAACTTTTTTTAATGATTTATCTTGCTTATTGCATATGCAAAGTCCACATTTGGTTTCATGGAATTTATTAAATCACCCGGGAAGTAATGCCATTTTATGTACTTGTCGTACATGAGCATTTTTTTCCTAATAAATTTGTTTTTTATTATCAGGGGGAACTGGTGAGGCTTTTCGCTAATGATCAGAACAAAATCAGATGTGGTATGTCCATTTATATATTGATGAGTTCAGCATAAACATGCCTTATATGAATGACTTTTTTATAGTTGTTTTATGTATAATGGATCCTTGTATTTTTTTTTTTTTTTTTTTTTTCTAAAAAGTCCGCTAATAAGTAAGTTTCTTGCTTTCCAGTTGTCAGTGTGTTTTCCCTCTCATCCCTTTTGCCAACAACATTAATTATTTAAAAAGACAAAAGGATAGTCGACTGTACTCTTAAATTTTTCTTTCATTGTATTTTCATGAGGTACTTTCTAGACCCAGAGATGCAAATGGGATTGACGAACATATTTCTAGAGGACAGGCCACTTTTAGGTTCTGCTACTGGTAAGTTTTAATTTTTGCATCTTTCTATTTTCTTGTTGCATATCTAATCATCAGTCTGTTTAATGTAGATGATAAACTCATCTCCTGACAATAATCTAAAATGCTAGTTTATAGGAAACTTAGTGCTTGGTGCAATTCAAATATAATGATGAGTTTGTGTACGGACTGGAGTCATTTAGGAGAAAACTCCAATATAGGTACTTTTATTAATAATGTTTTACCAATTGTGCCAATTTATGTCTAAACTCATTGCTAAAATTTCTTTTGCATTTTATTTCATCCTCTTGCTTTTAGTATATTGTATAACTTGTATGAATATGGATGAAACGTGAGCATCTAAATTGAATTATTGGCTGCATAATTAATAAGAATATAGTAAATATTTAAATTCGATGAAAAGAACAAAAGAATAGATAAGTGAAACACCCTATGTGATTTATACATGTATTGCAAGTCTGATGCACGTATAAATTCCATGATGATCTCAACCTGATTTTATATGAAATGGGTTTAAAATATGGTATAGATGGGCAATTATTTGAATCAATTGAGAACTCAGAAAGCTATTTCCCTGCAAACTTTTTTTTCCCTGGAGGATGGTACTAAATTCCCCTGCTTAGTTAAAATGCCTGGCTTATAGAGCAAGATGGGAAATTGTTCCAAATCGGGTGATATGCCTCATCTACTTTATAATAAATTACTAGCTTATATGCTTATTTTAACAGTGCCTGGCTCCCAGGCTGTTCATTTTGTGTTGTTTGTTTTTGTGGGGTGAGTGTGATTGACTTTGTATTGTCAAAATGATATAAATTGTACCTTATTGATCCTTATATTCATAAGTTTGTAGCTATATGGGTTTGTCATGCTGCTAAATCTGTTCCTTATATCACATGAAAAACTTTTGCCATATCATCTTGTTGAAAACAGATGGACTCTTCTGAGATTGGGAGCCAGCTGCTTTAATTCTGAGACGGTCAGGCTATCAGATCAAGATCAATAGTACAGAAGCTGTTGTAATGCAGAGAAATTCTCAAAGGAATTATCAGTATGTTCTTTACTGGTGACACTTCATTTGAGAAATTAGGTTTTTATGTCATGAGATGTTCTCCAAGTTACTGTTGAAGTATTGGATGAATTTAAATCATAATGAATAAGTTTTATACAACTGTATCAAGTTGGTCTAGAAAAAGGTTATAATAAAACATTTTGTATCTACAGTTTCGCATGATGAAAGTGAATTCCTTGTCAAAATATGTATCCATCATACAGAACTAAAAGCAATCATGCTTTCTTATAAGCCCTACAGTGTTTGACAAAATCTGCAAGAATCTGTACTGTTGAAAGGCTGAATAGAGTTTAATTCATATAATGGATATTTTTTTACCAGACGTTGTTAGTTACAGTTTCTGTCACTAGTCATTTGTAGTAATCAGAACCTACAATGTAATTTTATATTTTCTAAACATAAGACAATCCATATAAACTTCCATAATTTGTTGGTTGCAGATCAAAGTTCCTTGTGGCTTCTCAACTCAATTTGTGTTGACATGTTCTGATGGATCTTCTCATCCTTGTAGCACGTACGATGTTCGGTAATACTTTAATTTTAATTTTATGTTTCATTTTTATTTTGGTCAATAACTTTTGTTGTATACTTGTATATTTAAATTAAAGCATTCTTGATATTGTAGTGCTGCATTGGATCATTTTCTGGAGATTTTAGGGTTTATCAGACTTGTATTTTATGTCCATTTCTGATATGAGAATAGTACAAAAAGTTGCTGTTGCCATTAGGATCTATACGAGAATCACATATAAGGTTACTCAGTGGATAATATGTTAGAATTGTGATGATTAAGCCTATAACTGAGGAAATCAGCTGGAGCTAATCTTGGAGGAGATATTAGCTGTAATCAAGTGAATCACTCTAAACATTCTTGTTTTTGTCAACAATATGCATCTGATATGATATATTCAATTTCTTTTGCAGGATGCGCGATACTCTTGTGTTGACCATGAGAATACTCCAAGGCAAGGTATTTCTTTACTTCAAATTGTGCCCCAACTTCTGCATGTATGGTTCTTTTATGTGTTTTCATGCAAGATCTGGGACATAAGTTTTATGGTTAACAAAAGAATTGGGGATATGTTTTTACTCCTCGTCATCAATTCTTTAATATGATTCCTTTTTAAGCAGTACAAATTCAATTGACCCTTTTTAAGCCTCAAGTGCAAAGAGAGCTTTGAAACAATTTGGTCTGACTCTGATGTTAGTTTAACTATAACAGAATATGTGGATTACAGTAAAACTCAAGAGGCGAAGCACAGAAGTATTTTTTGTTTTTGTTAAAGAAGCATGGAAATGTTTTGAAACAAACAATCATGTTCTGATATTTAGTAATCTATCTAGATTATCCTCTAACAGTGGAGCAAATAGGGCTTCCATATCATATTCTTTAGAACTTTGAGAAATGAATGTAAGAGAAAATGTAAAGGGCATATCTATTATACACACACAACACAACCACACAGAACACATGGTCTTGCAGTGTAAGAAGTTATATTTCTGGACTGCTAGTTGAGATTCTTGATTAGGTGGCATCACTTCTAGATGTGTAGTAGACCTAGTGGTGCCTATTTGATCAAAAATTGTGATTGCTAGCCCCGCAAAGGGCCAATCTGTAGGGTTAGGTTCGGGAGACACACATATTTTCATTAGTTTCTTGGTGATGCACTCCATTAGTAATTCCTAATCTTCAAACTTGGAAATTTATTTTCCTTTTGTTTTGTGTTTTCTGGTGCAGGCACTGGATGACAAAAGGAAAGGAAGAGTATAGCCATAATTTGAGCATAATGTTTATAGCCATCATTCATTCATAGTAAAAAGCGATAAATAATTAATTAAACAGAGATCTAAATACCAGCATGGGTAAGTTAAAGATAAAAGCTTTTGTAGTTTCTTCCATTGTATTATGATTCATAGTCATGCTTATCTCTGAACCACAGATCACACAGGCATTCTGTATAGACAAGCATGAATAAAATAGATGTATTTTTCTTGTATTACCTTATCGATTAATTTAGGCTAAATACTCGTTGTGTGTAGAAACCAAAAATGATGTTACAACTATCAATTAATTAAGGCTAAAAAAACTCTCTTTTCTTTTAGTGAAGTATAGTTAGTTTAAGTTGTAATTCCATATGGATTATGACTTATTCATCGAAAGAGTTATTTCTACTTACACGTTTTCTTGTGTTTTCACAAAACTCCCGTAGGTCTCAAAGATTACACGAACACCCCTTGAGGTTTCAGTTTGTTTTCACAAAATTCCTTTTCGTTGATTGTCCAAAAATTGATGATTTCATTGGAAAAAAAAAAATTATGCAAATGACAAAATTAACCTCAATGAAGTATATGCAATTTAATCTAAAATGTCAACTTTGTCATTTGGAGAATTTGTATAAAATTATCAATTTTTGAATGAAAAATCAATGAAAATGAGTTTTGTAAAAATAATTTAAAACGTTAGGGAGTATTCGTGTAATTTCTAAAATATCATGGGCTTTTGTGAAAAAGTAAAAAAACTCTGGAAGTGTTGGTGTAAATAACTCTTCATCAAAATAGTTTGTCATATTAGGGAATTCTTACTATATCAAATATGTCGTGCAACCAGATGTATATACTTTTCTTTCTGTCTTTGTCTTCACCTGATAAAAGATATATTACGTGAGGAGAGAGAAGCATGGATAGGAAGATCTAAAGTAGGATTAGTTGGTAACATGGATAATAAAAAGGGAGATTCACTATTACACTCAATATATAGGCTCAAATTATAAAAATACCCTATATGAAATGGACTTTAAAAACACACCCAAAGCCCATTTACAACATAACAAAGAGGCTTTTAATTCTTATAAATTGCAAAACTACTATCAATTTTTTAAAACAAATCTAACCCCAAAATCTCATAAAAATACCCAAAACACTCAATAGGGCATCAAAGTAATTAATAATCAATATTAAATTCAATAAGGTCAGCTGTCATTTTTTGAGTTTGTTTATAGAAATTCAATAGTGTAAGGTTTATCTATAATATTAGTGCTAAGAATGGGTATATCACTAAATATCTCTAATAAAAACATATAGTGCACCGTACAATAATGTTAATAAAAAAGTTCATTTTTCTTTCTCTGAATATTTTTTTGTTCTCGGAAAAGCAATAATTTATTTTAAGGATGAATGTACATTGAGGACTAATACAGATTTATATACTCGAATTGAAAATAAAATGTAATAGTTAAAATTCTAAAACCAAAAAACATAAAACATTTTCAGTTAAGACTATAATGTTCACATCTCAGTTTACGATTTTAATGTGTACCTAAAATGTGTGTCGCGAATGAACATTGACTTGATTCTTTAAGAACGTGTCATTATTAGGTCAATCCGTTATTAATCTGACTTGATAAGATGGATCCGAATGATTATTGTTGTATCTGTAGATGCATACTCTTTATAAATTTTGTCATGCGTACAAATTAAATTTATAAACTTGTGGTTTCCATATCAAATTTTAGTACATGTTTCATTGTAATTTTAAATTTGAGATTTCAGTTCAGTGGCTGGGAATACTCTCTTTTCCTTGGAGCCAAAAGATCAAGTTTGAAGCCTATAATTATTTTTTCAGACGGCACAAAATTGGAAGGGTACTATTGGGCGATGTTAAATTCATTAATTTTTTTTAATGCTACCTTGGAATTGCAGAAGGGTCAAATTTTCCATCTGCATGCAAAACCTTTCATTTCACATCACAAATTACTTATTTTTCTTTTTCTATATTTTTTTCTATATATTTTTTTTTTTTTTTTTGTTTTTTTTTTTTTTTTTTTCTTTTTTTTGTCAAAACATCCTAAGTTCACTTAAGCCAGCCAATAAGATCTCAGTAATTGCACAGAACTCACATGGCTGCACGTGTTTAGCTCACATCTCAATCACATTTCTGTAAAGTAAAGAAAAATTATTCTTTGGGTTTAAATATTTTATTATTTTTATTAAGATTAATATTTATTTTTATACTAACTTTTGCAGTAATTTTACATAGGATTATTCTTTGTGGAAACAATAACGATTGTGTTGTATGTAACGCCGGCCTCCTTAGGCCTGCGCCTACGTAGAATAAACCATCTCACGCTCATTTGAGAGAACCACAACTCAACTAACTTTATTTTAGGGAGACAAATCCTTTCAAAGTAGGAATCTCAACACCTATTAAGGTTTGTTTGTTCAACAACATCACAAGTATGAAAGACGCATTGGGGAAAGGTTGTTTCTATTGTAACGTCTGCGTGATGGTTTTTAATACACGTATTATAATATAAATGAATGACAAATTTATATTATAAGGGTATAATATTAATAAACATAATGGAGTTCTAACACGATTGATATATACACCATGTAACGATATACTCCATTGATGCATCAATGTCCACAAACTTAAGTAAATTCTTCTTTTTTGTTTCTGTAGGTGAACTATTGTCAAACAAGTTTTCTAACGAGTGGAGATATATAAATGTTCCTAGATAAAATGGTGATTGAGAACCATTACCAAAACATAATACATGTCAAATTAACCAATAATACTAAAATGTGTACATATTAAATAAGTAAAAATGATTACTCCTTTTTATAAGATGGCAAGGAAGCTGAGGTTGAGTTAGTTGGAAGTGTGTTGTGCTTGCATAGAAAATGCAAAGAGTCCACTCTCTCACCTATATTCACCGACTAGAGACTTGGACGGTTTCTTAAGCTTTAGATTAGTCACTTGGATCACAACTCAACTACCAATCATCTACTTACAAATAGACTAGAAAAGAAACCATCACCTCCTATAAATAATGCCAAAGAAAAAGAAAAGAAAAAGAAAGATAGAGATAAAGAAAACAAATGAAAGAAAAAGTAGAATATAAGGGAGACACACATCAATAATCCATCTCCTCTTCTACTTTGCTTTACTTTCCATCTAAGCCCCTCATTTTTCTCTTCTTTTTCTTTAACACTTGCCTACCTCTCTCTCTCTCTCTCCTCCTTCTTTGGCATATATCAAGCAAAGGAAAAGTGACCAAATTAAGAAAAGAGGCCAAGATCTGGTAGTGTGTGCCATTGAGGTTTTTGGTCATATGGGCTCTTCAGGGAACCAAAATCCTTGGGCACCATATGACAATTACAAAGATTGTTCTCAAGGAATTTGCAGCATCTACTGTCCACAATGGTGCTACATCCTTGGCCCTCCTCCCCCTCCTTTTGATTTTGCAGAAGCTGATGACAGCAAAGACTCTGCTACAGATTTCTCTCCTCTCATTATAGCAGTGATTGGCATCTTTGCAAGTGCTTTCATTTTAGTCACTTACTACACCATCATATCAAAATATTGCCGGCGAAGAGATAACGATGGCGGTCGAGACATTGACATGGAGAATTCGAATCCAAACCAAATTAGTGAATCATGGCAAGGCTCAACAACTGGCCTTGATGAGTCCCTGATCAAGTCAATCAAAGTTCACAAGTATAAGAGAGGTGACAGCCTTGTAGAAGGCACTGACTGCTCTGTTTGCCTAAGTGAGTTTGAAGAAAATGAGAGCCTGAGGTTATTGCCAAAGTGCAGCCATGCTTTCCATGTTCCTTGCATTGATACTTGGCTCAAATCTCACTCTAGTTGCCCGCTGTGCCGGTCGAATATTGCTGCTCCTGCCATAGCTTTGGTGCCTCATCATCATCAACAAGTGCTGTCTCCAGTTCAAGAGAATCCACAGCTGGAACAAAATGTGACTGCTTCAGAATACCAGCACAGAAGCCATGCAAGTGTTTTGGTTGTCCAAGATTTGGAAGAGGTTGTAAGTCTTGCAAATGATCATGTTGTTCCGAAGACCACAACTCAAGATATTGTTAGAGAAAGGGCTCACTTGGAGAATACAGTGAACAGTTGTGAGATTGGACAAGATGGGATCCAGCAATTGAGGAGATCAGCTTCTTTGAATTGTGTTTCCATTGCTGATGTGTTGCATTTACATGACAGTGAAGATGATGAGGACTTGGAGAACCAGATGGAAAATGTCCAATTTTCCATGGGAATTGGATCCTCAAATAGAGTAGCTGAGGAACAGAATTCCAAATCCGACAACCATAGAAGTGGAGTTTTCAGCTTGGTGAAGGGTCCTCTTGTGTTGAAGAGATCAACTTCAACAGGGAGATTTGTGCTCACAAGGTATGGAAAGGAAAAGAATTCTATCTCCTAATTAAAACCATTTATTCCCCTTTCCAAAATTAATCTGTAAAACCACAATTTCTTCTTCTTTTGTCTTTGTACCATATTTTTATACACAAAAAGAGAGACCCTGCATACAAATATGAGACTAATTGACTTTAAATCATATATGGTTATGTCCATAAGCGCCTGGTCTAGTGCTATTTAGTCTCTAATTTGTTTGTTGAGGAGGTCTTGAGTTCAAATCTCATGAACTGACGTGATTGAATAAAATTATTCATCAACTCCTATGCGGGTATTTTACTTGAAAAAGTATAAAGAAAGCTTTCATGAAAAAAATTACCAGAATTGCTGGTCTCTGCTCCAATTATAATTTGCTTTGCATCTCCTAAAAATAATGTGCTCCCCTCTGCACAATTAGTACTCAATAGTGAAAAAAATGAGAATATTAGTTGGCGAGCTACTTGATCTCAATGACAGGAGTTTGAAACCCGTTGGAAGCACTTTGTGGTTAAAGGCAAGCCGAACTCCGAGTGAGGATTAATCTTACCTTCAAGTGTGGGGACACCTCGTGGCATTTACCAAAAAATTGAGAATATTAGAGGAAGGTACAACACAAGTGCTTGTGGGAATAAGAATTGTTCCCATATGATTAATTGCCTTTGTTCAGGAATCTTTTTATTCTGTGCTAGCTACACGCTGTTAGAAAAGTCCAAAAAGTAGAAAATGATGGGAAATTACCCCAAATTGGTACTGTATTATTAGGCCAGCTAAAATCCCATATCCATATTCTCATATTTGGGTTCAAAACTGGTGGGGCTTAAGATTTATAATTTTTTTCCACTCCAATGCATATAATTAATAGTCAACGGGGTCTAACTCGGTGGAAAATGATATTGACTTGTAGACCTATGGTCTTAAGTTCGAACTCTTATAACACTTTGGTAGTGTGTGTGAAAATCTCCCTCCTCCCCCTTAACTTTCTCAAAACAAAAACAAAAAACACATGATTAATATGGGCTTGAGTTTTGGGTAAATGTTAAGTTTAAGTTTTGAGTTTCTAATGCATGACTCTAACTTATAATTTGACCCAAAATTTAAGATGAGATTTGAGTCTTAGATGATCTAGAAAGTGATTGGGAGGGTGACATCTGGGGCAAGTGCCAGAGATATAACCCAAAACCTAAGCTCCTTAGAACTGAAGGCTTGGTGGGTGACCTTAAATTGGCCCACCATTTTGGGAGGTAGTGGAGATTAAATTTCCAACCAGTTTTGACAATAACAGATCGAGTCGCATTCAAAGAGTAAGTGGTGCCTTAAGCAATGCGTGAAGCTTTGAGTAGGAGCACAGTTGTGAACTTGTGAATCACCCAACAACCACACAATCGTATTCATCACTGTTTTTTTTTCTTCGGTTAACTTCTATTTTGATAAGATTCAGCAATAGGTTAAATTGAATCCATAGACTTAAAGTTGAAGGAAATGAAGCATCTAGACTCTAAATATTATATTAAAGTGTGAAAGAATACAAAATGGAAATACATTGGGAACAAAATGATACATCCGACGTTGAACAACTGATATGGACAGGGCATCTGTCCTTGCTCTTTTTCAAATAATTTATCAATCTTTTATTATTATTTATTTATCAATCAAATAGAAACTTAATTAGATAAAGTTCAACAATACGATCAAAAACATTAACAAGACATCTAAAATACCAATTTTAAGAGAGTACCAAACTAACATGCTAAAAGCAAAATTAATGCGAACAAAAACCGCACTAAAACTACTAACTCAAATCACCACAATTTAACAATATCTTTAAATATCTATATGCTTGAACAAACAAGTAGATTTTTTTAAATTCAATTAAAAATAATGTAGGAACATCTTTGCATAAACTTTACTATATATATATATATTTATTTATTTATTTATGTTTTAAATTTTGCATTTGCTTTAAGCTTCATGAAATTAGAGGCCGGATGACGGGACATGGCCCGCATTTTTCAGTCCTATATATTTGCCTAGTTGTTCATATTTTTTAGATTTTCTATATTGCAATAATCTCTTTGGAGACCGTGTTCTTCCTGCTTGTATCTTTTATTTTGTTATGTTTATCAATGAATCTATTGTTTCAACCAAAAAGAAAAACAAAATCACTGATTTTTTTGTTTTTTGTTTTTGTTTTTTGTGGTTGGAAGTGAAGTAATGTAGATTAAAGATCACATGTAAACAACCTCCGCCGCTGCTCTAGATATATTGGTATATGGTCATTAATTATTTTTCACATGCATGTGAGAGGCGTTATGTATTCATAACTTTACAAGGATACTCCAATGACTTCGACTGTTGAGTGTTTTTCTTTTCCTCCTTTTGCACTACTAACTTGGGAAGCCATAAGAATACAAATTGACCTCAAAATTTTGTTAATGTTTAGAAAATCAGGAGGTCAGCAAGTTTATAACTTCTAATAGTAGTACAGTAGTAATCTTAGGCCATTTCTAAGATTTTAGAGGATGTGTGCGAGACGGGGAAAGACAAATTTTTATACTAAAATACTATATATGCCATAAACAAATGTTATACTAAAAATCATCACCATTTAACATGAAATTCCAAAATTACTCACAAACGAAACAAATAGACAAACCATTTCAATTATTTCATATATGGCAAGTTAAAAAAGAAAGTGGCAATTTATATGCAACCTAATGATCTGTTGGAGATACCGATTGTAAAAGTTGAGTTTTTATGGCTCTCACTGACCAATGGATAATTCAGCAAGTTGAGAATTGAGGTTACTCCTAATCCACCAAGTTTATTAGAGTTTGAGTCCCGGCAATTGCATATGCATCCTTCAAATAGAATATGTTGGTCTTTAGCCGATGTGAGTTTGAATTTCGTTTTTCTCTCTCATAAATTGAAAAAACGAAAATTAATTTATAAACATTGATAAAATTCATAATTCGCGTAAGTAACATAAAAAAATCCATAATTTGGACAATCAAAGAAACGCAATCACCATATAAGTGCAAGGGACTTTCTCTATTGCGAACTCCAAGTGTGCGGACTGGATGCGAACTTCTATTTGTGACCATTAGATGCCTTGTACGCTCTAGATTTAAAACATCATTGAGAAGGGTTTCAGTCTTTTGGTAAGAGCCAAAATTCCCGCGCTTACACCTCCAATCTACTAACCTCTGTTTCCTTCTTCCAACACAACACCTTCTCTTCCCAGTGCTTTCATTCCTGCGCATATACCTCCAATCTACTAATCTCTCTCTGTTTCTTTCTTCCACCACAAGACCTTCTCTTCCCTATGCATTCATCCGATGCTTTCATCAATTGCTATTTGTGGCTCTGTATATGCAATAAGTCATTTCCCTTCTTCCCTACGTTGATTTTCTATTTCTTTTTATAGGGATATCCTCGCTGATTTGGGTTTGGGTTTTACTTGGTCTTCGTATGAACTTGGGTCACTTTTGTTTTGTTTTGAGTTTGGTGAGGTGTTGTACTGCTGGGTGGGATTTTTTTATATGACCTTGGCTGATCTGTTGTTTAATTATACTCTGTATTTACCTGACGTTTACAATTACTAACTATATTTCATTTGCATATGAGGATATTGAAGCTAACTATGATCTCCTGATATGATTCAACGAGTCATGCCTTCTTCGGATGATTTGCAAAGTTTGTATACAGGATACCTTCAAATGCTCACTCAACATCTGTGCATCATGCGCCTTCATCTTTCTCTGCAATTGTCTTTTGTAGTTATATAAATCTTTCTTTGTATATCCAATGTTTTGCATCCCTCCTGCTTGCACTTCAAGAAGACTAAATTGTTGATGTGTTGGGATATTAACATCACCAAATCGTTGTGCCAATGCTTTATTAACTTCAGAAATTTTACGATGCGATCTCAACAAATGTACCATTTGAGGGGCTGTCAAAGCATGATTATGGCCCTCAACAAAGTTAGAAATTATGTATTTTGTGCCTTCTCTTACCTTCAAAAACGCAATCTTAGCCTTACACCCACTTCGTACTACACCTCGCCTCCTTTCACTTCCATTAGAAACTTCTTTGGAATATACTCCCTCTTTGTAGCACACATATTCTTTTCTCAAGATCTCCTTAGAAGTTTTACTCTTTTGCTGACAATAACTTCGAACACTAAATCCCGCTTGTTTTGCATAGTTGTTATAGAAGTTATAGGCATCCTCAAGTGATTCAAACTCTTGACCAATTTTTGGTACATGATGATCTTCTACTTGAGGATTGAAAAATAAATATGAATTATTTTCATTAGTATCTTCCATAAATTCATATGTCCCGAGTTCTTCTTGTGGGCTTCCCATCTCTAAAGTTTCATCTATTAAAGCAAAAAGTAACAAAAATATTGGTCAATGGGACATTGGTAAAACAATGGCAAAGAATATTGTAGCAATGCTTAAACCAAAAGCCAAACTCGTAAGTGCATATCAAACCTGAATTAGATAAATTTTCAACCAGAAAACAAAATAGAATAACTGAGCCAAAACCATACAAAAACAAAGACCAATTAGTAGCCAAATCCATATAACCCATACATCAGTGCTTTTTGTTTTTCCGATTCCAACCTTCGTGATTTCCAACGAAACCCAAATCTTTTTAGTGAACAATCCCATACCATAAGAAAATCAGAAAACTTTGTATAAACAAAATGGAAAATACGCATATATCATAAAGCAAAAAAAAAAAAAAAAAACAAAACAAAAAAAGAAGAAATAAAAATATGCCAACCTGGAGGAGCAGGTATGATATTGCCAGGGATGAGAGCACATGGAAGAGAAGGTGTTAAAAAGAAGAAATAAAAATATTATAACCTAGAGGAGCAGCTGTGATATTGCCAGGGATGAAAGCACAGGGAAGAGAAGGTGTTGTGTTGGAAGAAGGAAATAGAGGTTAGTAGATTGGAGGTGTAAGCGCGGGAATTTTGGCTCTTACCAAAAGACTGAAACCCTTCTCAATGATGTTTTAAATCTAGAGCGTACAAGGCATCTAATGGTCACAAATAGAAGTTCGCATCCAGTCCACACACTTGGAGTTCGCAATAGAGAAAGTCCCATAAGGGCAATTCCTATTCTTTTTTTCTTTTGTTACTATACAATTTCTATCCTAATTTAAAAGGAAAAACAATCGAAACTAGAGACCTTATGTTCTCTTGAACCTTTTTAATTCGAACTCAAGAACCTAGCCCTTTTTCGACAAACAATTATGTTCATGAAACCGACTCAATAGGCCCCGCATAGCCACTATTATAGCCCAAATAGACCTCACAAGCCCATAACCCTAAATAGGGTTTTCAGAGGAACCACTATAAATGGTAATCCGTAGCCTCTCTATCTTTCAGAGACTTCACTCTCCGCAGAGAGTGGACCTCTCTAGGTTGCGGCACTGTTGCGAAGGCATCATATTATGAGTAACAGTTCTTCTGCTCCACGGGTAAATCTATCAACCTCTTTTTTACTCTTTTAATCTTTGAGATCACGATCTTTGAGTGGTTGGAGGTAGCAGTAGCAGTAGCATATGTGATCTAATGGGTTACGCTCTTTTCTTGAATTTGAAGAAGACTGGTTCAGATCAGGAGCCATTAGAGCGGGTGCATTTGGTTACTTCAATTTACATGTTGGTTGGTCTTCGTACTGTTCGACCGTGATTTCTTTGTATAAACAAATGAATTAATTGTTATTGTCATTTGAATCAAGGGTGGACTTGGGTTTCATTCGAGTTTACATCATTGTTCAAATTACATAAATGGAAGATGGTCTACTATATGTGTTAGTTAGAATATCACCCTTTGAAGTGACACTGAATCTTGAATATTGAATTTGAAAGTGAAGATTTTGGCCAGATCATGATACTCGTTACTTTGCGATATAAATTTGTGACTGTATAATGTTTGTACCAAATTGTATTTAGATGAAATTTGTAATTTACTTTTGACACCAAAATAATAAAAGGTTACCTTGTGTGTTGCTTTAGATTATGCGTTTGCAACCATGTCTTGATGATCTAGATAAAGTAATTTCTGCGCACTTAATTCAATAAAACGCAATTCTCTTTTCTCACCTGAATCATAGTTTTGCTGGGAACAAATTTTAGTGTGTTCTGCTCTTGCTTTACATCAAGTATGTTGTTCCTGACTAATTCGAATTTTAATGTTCAAAGACTTTGAAACTAACTGAAAGATGTTTCTGAACTGAATTCTATACTCTGCCCCTGAGAGTCATTTTCACCCAACTTGTTCCATAACTCAACTTTGCATGTTCAATTTTACCCTTGAGAAATCCTGTACTAACTGAAATATGTTAGCAAGTATTAGAATTTTCGTCCAAAGTGATGATGTGGCACTTTAGAAATCCCTTGTTTTCCTACGTGTATGCCACTTGTATAAAAGAAAAACCATAACATTTTATGTTTAAACAATGAGAGAAAAATAATACTAAGGCTCCATCCCCATCCCCAGCCACTCTCCCACATCCCTTCCGCACCCGGAAGCTCACCGCAATCACCTCATATGACAACATCGCCAAGATCTTGAGTTGCCGAGTCGTAAATCACCTCCTATAACAACAGTGCCAAGATCTTGAGTTGACGAGTCGTAAATGCGAACAACGTTGAGGTGTACGTGTCGGACAAAGCATGGTCTACAAGTTTTTAAAAATAAAAAAAAATCCTATTATGCTGAATAGGGTGACCAAACAAGTCAATTGGAATATCGTACATTAAGTCTCATGGATTTGCAATTTCCTAATGCAAATACACTTAGATTAGTGACGTGATGGATGCAATTTCCTAATGCAAATACACTTAGATTAGTTTAATTAAGGCGTGTTGGCTTGAGGAGGTGCCTCCATGGCTAAACCATTAGATTAGTGACGTGATGGATGCACTTCGTTTTTGTTTTTAATTAAGCTCCTCTTTTCAATAATAAGGAAAAAAAAACTTAAGATCAATTTGATAATCATTTTATTTTTAAGCTTTAATTTACAAGTTTTTTTGTTAGAGATGGGGGGAAACACAAAATGAGGGATGAAAGAATAGTGAAGGAAGGGTGATAGGATGGAGGCTAGAGACACGAAAACAAAAACTTTCTACTAGAAACTGTTTTTAGTTTTTATTTTGTATATAATTAATAATTCTGTTGTGGAAACAATTGGACCTAACCGAAAATGTGCTAACTAGGACATCGGGCCTCCAAGGGTGGTGGATTGTGACTACCAAGAATGGTGTCACACTCCCACATCGCTTGGTGTACATTTCTTCCACATCTTTCCCATCATCTTTCTTCCACCATTTTTAAAGGTAATTACAAAAAATCCTTGGGCACCATATGACACTTACAAAGATTCTTCTCAAGGAATTTGCAGCATCTACTGTCCACAATGGTGCTACATCCTTGGACCTCCCCCATTCTTTTGATTTTGCAGAAGCTGATGACAGCAAAGACTCTGCTGCAGATTTCTCTCCTCTCATTATAGCAGTCATTGGCATCTTTGCAAGTGCTTAGCCTTGTAGAAGGCACAGACTGCTCTGTTTGCCTAAGTGAGCTTGAAGAAAATGAGAGCCTGAGGTTATTGCCAAAGTGCAGCCATGCTTTCCATGTTCCTTGCATTGATACTTGGCTCAAATCTCACCCGCTGTGCCGGTCGATATTGCTGCTCCTGCCATAGCTTTGGTGCCTCATCACCATCAACAAGTGCTGTCTCCAGTTCAAGAGAATCCACAGCGGGAGCAAAATGTGGCTGCTTCAGAATATCAGCACAGAAGCCATGCAAGTGTTTTGGTTGTCCAATATTTGGAAGAGATTGTAAGTCTTGCAAATGATCATGTTGTTCCAAAGACCACAACTCAAGATATTGTTAGAGAAAGGGCTCACTTGGAGAATACAGTGAATAGTTGTGAGATTGGACAAGATGGGATCCAGCAATTGAGGAGATCAGCTTCTTTGAATTGTGTTTCCATTGCTGATGTGTTGCATTTACATGACAGTGAAGATGATGAGGACTTGGAGAACCAGATGGAAAATGTCCAATTTTCCATGGGAATTGGATCCTCAAATAGAGTAGCTGAGGAACAGAACTCCAAATCCAACAACCATAGAAGTGGAGTTTTCAGCTTGGTGAAGGGTCCTCTTGTGGTGAAGAGAACATCAGCAGGGAGATTTGTGTTCACAAGGTATGGAAAGGAAAAGAATTCTATAACTCCTAATTAAAACCATTTGTTTCCCCTTTCAAAATTAGTCTGTAAAGCCACAATGTATTGTTCTTTTGTCTTTGTACCATATATTTATACACAAAAAGAGAGACCCTGCATACAAATATAAGACTAATTGACTTTCAAATCCTATATGGTTATGTCCATAAGCGCTTGGTATAGTGCTATTTAGTCTCTAATTTGTTTGTTTGAGGAGGTCTTAAGTTCAAATTTCATGAACCGATGTGATTGAATAAAATTATTTATCAACTCCTATATGGTTATTTTATTTGCAAAGTATAAAGAAAGCTTCCATGAAAAAAATTACCAGAATTGCTAGTCTCCACTCCAATTATAATTTGCTTTGCGTCTCCTAAAAATAATGTGCCCCCTCGGAAAAATTAGTACTTAATAATGAAAACCTGAGAATATTAGAGGAAGGTACAACACAAGTGCTTGTGGGAATAAGAATTTTCCCCATATTATTAATTGCCTTTGTTCAGGAATCTTTTTTGTTCTGTGCTAGCTACACACCTGTTAGAAAAGTCCAAAAAGTAGAAAATTCTGGGAAATTGCTCCAAATTGGTGCTATATTATTAGGCCAGCTCAAATCCCATATCCGTATTCTCATATTTGGGTTCAAAACTGGTGGGGCTCAAGATTTATAATTTTTTTTTGTTGCTCCAATGCACATAATTAATAGTCAATGAGGTCTGATTCAATGAAAAATGATATTGACTTATAAACATGTTGCCTCAAGTTGGAACTCCCATAGCACTTTGATAATGTGTGTAAAAATCACTCACCTCCCCCTTCCTAACTTTGTAATAAATAATAAATAAATAAAAAGCATGATTAATATGAGTTTGAGTTTGGGGTAAATGTTAACTTTAAGTTTTGAATTTCTATGCATGACTCTAAACTTATAATTTGACCTCAAATTTAAGATGAGATTTGTGTCTTGGATGATCTAGAAAGTGATTCGGAGGGTGACATTTGGGGCAAGTGCTAAAGATAAAACCCAAAACTTAAGGGCCTGTTCAATAATCATTTTATTTTTAGTTTTTATTTTTTATGCTAGAGTATTGAGGAAATTGAGAATGAGAATGAGAGTGAGGATGAGATTGAGAGAGAGGATGAGAGGGAGGAGTAACAAAAGTGAAAACAATTTCAAATAGATTTCAATTTTTAGTTTTTGTTTCACTTTTGTTACTTTTCCCTCCCATCCTCTCCTCTCATTTTCCCTCTCAATCTCATCTCCACTCTCATTCTCCCTCATAAACGAAAAGTTAAAATTGAAATGGTTATCAAATGGGCTCTAAGCTCCTTAGAACTGAAGGCTTGGTGGGTTACCTTAACTTGGCCCACCATCTTAGGTGGTAGTGTAGCTTAAATTTCCAACCAATTTTGACAATAACAAATCAAGTCACATTCAAAGAGGAAGTGGTGCCTTAAGCAATGCGTGAAGCTCTGAGTAAGAGCAGACATGTGAATCACCAACAACCACTCAATCATATTCATCACTGTATTTTTTTTTGGGTTAATTTCTATTTTGATAAGATTAATCAATGGGTTAAATTGAAACCATAGAATTAAAGTCCAAGGAAATGAAGCATCTAGACTCTAAATATTATATTAAAGTGTGAAACAATACAAAAAGGAAATATATTGGGAATAAAACGATACATCAAACTCTAAACAACTGATATGAACAGGGCATCTGTCCTTGCTCTTTTTCAAATAATTTAACAATCTCTTTAAATATCTATATATAAGAACAACCAAGTAGATTTTTTTAAATTCAATTAAAAATAATGTTGGACCATCTTTGCATAAACCTTACTATAAATATATACATTTTAAAAATTTTATATTTTCTTTAAGCCTCATGAAATTAGAAGCCGAACGACGGGACATAGCCCCTCATTTTTCAGCCCTATATATAAAAGAAAGAAAATTTATATCACTGACCACTGTCTTGCAATGTATGCGCTTAGTTGTTCATGTTTTTTAGATTCTCTGTATTGTAATAATTTTTTTTTGGGGTTGTGTTCTTCCTGCTTGTATTTTGTGTTGTGTTCTGTTTATCGATGAATTTTACTGTTTCAACCAAAAAGAAAAAAAAAATCACTAACCAGTGAAGTAATGTAGATTTTTTTTGGGTTGGAAGTGAAGTAATGTAGATTAAAGATCACATGTAAACGACCTCGCCCGCTGCTCTAGATATATTGGTATATGGTCATTAATTATTTTTCACATGCATGTGAGAGGCATTATGTATTCATAACTTTACGAGGATACTCCAATGACTTCGATTGTTGAGTGTTTTTCTTTTCCTCCTTTTGCACTACTTAGGAAGCCATTTTTCTTCTGAAAATTGACCCCAAAATTTGTTAATGTTCAGAAAATCAGGAGTTCAACAAGTTTATAACTTCTAAGGCTCCGTTTGGTTCATGAGAAATGAGACTTCGGAATGGGAAATCAATTTTTTTTCATGTTTGGTAAGCCCAGGCATGAGAAATCGTTGCTTGGCCCGTGAGAAAGTAAGGGGGAAAGTGAAGCCATCCTACCAACTTGAGTTTTGTTTTCCCTTTTCATGGGAAAGTTTGGGAAAATGAGCCAATATTAAATAAATATTTTTCATGACCATTTTGTCCCCATTAACAATTTAGAATTACAATATATTATTAAACTCATTCTTTTTTTATTTGATTTAATATGGGTATAATTGAAAATTTATACAAACTTTGTTTTCCACTCCTACTCAAAACAAACATGGGAAAGGAAATAAAGTGATATCTCCTGGTTACTTTCCCAGCATTACCAAACTTGGGAAATGACATGAGAAATGATTTCCCCTCAAATTCATTCCATGAACCAAACGGGGCCAAATAGTAATATAGTAGTAATCTTAGGCTATTTCTGAGATTTTAAAGGATGTGTGTGAGAAAGGGACACACAAATTGTTATACTAAAATACCGTATATGCCATAAACAAATGTTATACTAAAAATTATCATCATTTAACATGAAATTGCAACATTACTCACACATGAAACAAATGGACAAACCAATTCAATTATTTCATATATGGCAAGTTAAAAAAGAAAGTGACAATTCATATGCAACCCAATGATCTGCTGGACACAATCATTGTAAAAATTGAGTTTTGATGGTGCTCACTAACCAATGGATAATTCAGCAAGTTGAGAATTGGGGTTTGGGGTTACTCCTAATCCACACCAAGTTCATTAGAGTTTGAGTCCCAGCAATTGCATGCGCCCTTCAAATAGAATATGTTGGTCTTAAAAAAAAATGTAGACATTAATGAGACCCATAATTCGCGTAAGTAACATAAAAAATCCATAATTTAGACAATAAATCACCATATAAGTGCAATTCTTTTTTTTTTTTTTTTATTTTGTATAAATTTCTGTGTGGAAGATTGGGATGGAGATGTTGTGAAAAAGAAGAAAGGGACAAAAAAAAAAAAAAAAAAAAAAAAAAAAAAAAAACGAAACGAGAGACGTTATGTCCTCTTGAACCTTTGTAATTCGAACTTAAGAGCCTATCCCTTTTTCCACAAACCATTATGTTCATGAAACCGGCTTAATAGGCCCGGCATAGCCAATATTATAGCCCAAATAGACCTCAGAAGCCCACAACCCTAGATAGGGTTTCAGAGGAACCACTATAAATAGTAATCGTGCATAGACTTCACTCTCCGCAGAGAGTAGACCTCCCTAGGCTGCGGCAATGGTGCGAAGGCATCATATTATGAGCGACGGTTCTTCTGCTCCACGGGTAAATCTATCAAGCTCTTTTTTACTCTTTTAATCTTTGAGACCGCGATCTTTGAGTAGTTGGAGCTATCAGTTGCAGTAGCAGTAGCATGTGTGATCTAATGGGTTACGCTCTTTTCTTGAGTTTGAAGAAGAGTTGGTTCAGATCAGGAGCCATTAGGCCAGGTGAAGCATTCGGTTACTTCAATTACATGTTGGTTGGTTTTTTATGGTTCGACCGTGATTTCTTTGTATAAACAAATGAGTTAATTGTTATTGTCATTTGGACAGGGTGGACTTGGGTTTCATTCGAGTTTACATCATTGTTCGAATTACATAAATTAAAGATCTATTATATGTGTTAGTTAGAACATCACTCTTTGAAGTGACGTTGAATCTTGAATATTGGGTTTGGAAATTGAAGATTTTGGCCAGATTAATAAAATATGTGTTGGGTTTAGTGAGGTCTTTTTTTAGGACGAAAGTTTTGGATAACTTGGCTACCCTGGAAAAGAAGCATTTTCTGTTCATATGTATACAAGTTACCTCTTGCGACGTTATAATATTTGTACCAAATTGTATTTAGATGAAATCTGTAATTTACTTTTGACACCAAAATAATAAAAGGTGTACACCGAATTGTTCCTTTAGATTTTGTGTTTGCAAATCTTTACATCTAAGATGCTGATGAAGTAATTTCTGCGCACTTTATTCAATAAAACGCAATTCTCTTTTCTCACCTAAATCTTAGTTTTGGTAGGAACTCTTTTGTTGAACATTTGTTTTTTAGACTTAGAAAATTTTAATCGTGGAGAATTAGGTTAACTTCAGCGTGTGTTCCGCTCTTGCTTTACATCAAGTATAGGGAAGACTCTAATATTTATAAATTAACAGAAACTAAGAGAAAGATGTTTCTGAACTGAATTCTATACTTCGCCCCTGAGAGTCATTTTCACCCAACTTGTTCCATGACTCCACTTTGCATGGTCAATTTTACCCTTGAGAAATCCTACACTAACTGAAAGATGTTAGCAAGTTGATTAGAATTTTCGTCCAAAGTGATGACGTGGCACTTTTGAAATCCCTTGTTTTCCTACGTGTATTCCATAACATTTTATGTTTGAACAAAACTTAAAATAATGTGAGAGAGAAATAATACTAAGGCTCCTTCCCCATCCCAAGCCACTCTCCCACATCCCTTCCACACCCGGAACCTCACCGCGATCACCGCCTATAA